CAGTTGATTTATAATAGCTAACAATGAATAATTTAATTTATAAAATCTATTTGTCAAGTATTAATTTTCTTGCATTTAAATTTATAATTTTTATTTTTAAGATGCTTTTGTTATAAATGGTTTTAAATATCGAAATTTCCCGATTTGATAAAATCTCTTGCACAGAAATTACATTTAAAATTATATTTGGATAAAGTTTGCAAAACTTTTGTAGATAGTCGATGATGAAAAGAATCAGATAGAATATATATGTGAAGCACGTGGCATACTTATTACACGCGGGAATTTGGCAAAGGCAGACGTCGTCGCACAATCCCGCCATCCAATTCGTAGAAATTTTTCGTCTTTCTTCCCTCAAAATCTCGTCGCTCAATAGCACCTACGAAAACGCGAGAAGCTTCTTCCAGCGCCGACATGTCGTCGCCGCGGAAGTATTCTCAATCGGATGGCGTTATATAGCGAACCTTTTGCGTTATACGCGTTACATTCTATTTATAGAGTATTTTTTCGACATTGTATTATTAACCTTTAATGATACATTTTTCGATTAATTCAGAATTGAGTTTTTCTTCGCAAGAACTGACTGTTACGATTCTCTGTAAATTAATAATCCTCGCAATTTATCTTCGAGATGTAAATACTTGTTGAAAAGTTCTTGTTAAGTCCGTTTAAAATAAAATAAAATTTTGTTATTTATTTGTTTGAGCTCCAAGTTTTTATAGGATAAATTTTCTTCGTTGTCGCGCGTAGCAAAAATTCAGGCAAAGTCAACGACGGCCGGAAGTTGCCGCCTGCACGAAAGAACTCTATCTCTAACTGGGGCGGCTTAAGCTCGTAAATGGTTTCCCGAAGTTACTGGCGAAGCGAGAAAAATTATATTCGTCCGCGACGTCAAATTGGAAACAGTCTTGAACCGTCGACACTACCGCAACGGAAGCGGGACGGGTTTAGACAGGCGCGTCTCGAGTATTCGAAGATTTCGAAAAATCCGACCAAGGTTATTGCGAAAGAGTCGCGAAACTTTTATATGAAAATGTCACCGCTTTCTCATTGGTCGGAATTAAATTTTCGCATACAACGACCGATCTGGTTAGTCTCACTTGAGCGGATTATTTCAAGCCGGTTGTATGAAAAATAATAAAGTGCGAAAAAGAACAAAATCTAGAATTAATCACATTATAAAAACATTATAAAAATTATTCTAACTTTAATAATATAAGTAAAAATTTATAAATAAATCAGTTTTGTTCGATCTACTTCTCCAAATCGTGTAAAAATAATTGCCACTTACGATTACTTAAGTAGAGTATACTGAAAATATTAATTAATAACAGACGGTATTAATCTGCAAAAGTTTTATTGATATATGAAATAGGAAGGCTTATGGTGATTTAATGACTGCAATTAACGTTTTGTTTTTTAAATAGATATATATGAACTGTGAAATAATGAACTTGATAATAGATTTGAGGCTTATTGTCATTCTTTTAATTAAAAATCGCGCTTCAGTTTATATCGTGCTAAACGTCGAGCGTACTTCCGCTTTAAGCATCGTTATAGCACTTGTGCTGAAATGGTACCTGATAGTGAGTACTACGCGGAGTGCATCCATTACCTCCACGCCTGTTTGAAGTGTCTAAATACGTGTGTCTGTATACTGAACGTACACGTAATCAGGTATGCAAATGCAGTTCATGCAACATCTTTTGAAGTCCCTTTTTAATACATCATGGAAGTAGGTCATTGATTATTTTCGATTGTGCATATTACGCATATTGTAGTAGTTTCTCTATTATAATTTCTCGCAAGAATAATTTCGGCAAGAATTAAATTTATATTTGATGTTTATTTCCTAAATCTTTCGTGTAAGAATAATTTAACAACATTATTCCACTTGATAAAAATGATTACCTTAACAATTTTGTTAATAAAACAAATAGTGAATAATTATAATAGTGAATCACTTTTGCTTAAATAATCTTAATATAAAATTTTAATTATAAATTTATATAACAAAGAAAATCATAGATATCCAGAATTTCACGTTAATCACTAATTATATCATCTTACATCCAAGTGATAATATTGCAATTATTTGAAAGCATACTTTCGATTCGATTTTCATTGAACGGTTATGCTAGCATATTTTTTACAATTTTTCAATTATATTCGTATTCGTTCTTTCCAATCATAAGTGACGACCATAAATGAATAAAACTTTCTTTTTTCCTCTTCGGCTGTCATTTCTCAGCCGTATCGAAGTCCCATTCTTTGTCGGATTTCCCGTTCGCCACGCCACGTCGTAAATCCCGTCCTGAACCTGAAAATCGTCGTTGAATTTGCAAAACGTGCCGGCGTCATTTCGGTGACCTGCCCACGAAACTATGAAATAATCTCGTCGTTAATCTCGCGCGTCGTATCGGGGCGCGCTGCGCACCCCTTAAACCGGGCGGCAACCCCCGCCGGCGGCCTTTTCTGCCTTTCCCGCTCGAAACAATGGAGGACGAAAGTTTACGGTCATGCTAGACCGCCGGGAGGATCGTATATTTTCGCCGCAACGCTCGTAAACTGCGGTCATGCTGCCAGTCGGCACATCGTAGGCGCACCTTCGAGCGACGGTGTTGGTGCGCGGAAGGACCGCGTGGCAGTCATGCCACTGTGTCAACGTGTCACTGGATAATTTCAGAGTTCGCGCGGTTCTCTTGTTTTCCATGTCCTCCTCTCTCCTCCGCCTCCGCCTCTCTTTTTTCCTCTTCCCCGCCGCTCTAACGGCGGAGGAGATTTGTTCCCCGCCGAGTGTGCCGCTTTCGTATGTGTTTATCTAAGTGCATTTTGAATGAAACATGGAGGCCGTCCCGTTTACTGCTCGCACTTGCGTTTGCCTGGATTGTGCATTACGATACGGTTGGACGTTGAAATACTAGCGCTCGTTGTTGCTCCCAAGTAAGACAACGGAAGTCGGAATTAATAATTTAAAGTGAAACGTACGAGTTGGACGTTACTTCATTATTATTCGTATAGATTAAGTATCGCATTAAAAAAATTATTTGATAATGTATTTTCTGAAGGCTGCGAATTTACGAACGTTGTACTTTGTAAGGTTGCTTCCTTTGATTCGGAGATAATCCTTTCGTATCCTAAATCGAAAATAATTTCCGAATGCAAGCCCGAAATGCATATGTGTTCTGGTTGCGAGTTACGAATGCTGGGGACGTTATCCTTTATCCGTTAGCCGAATCGAAATTTGTTTTTGCTTGCGCGTGCAGATCTCAGAATTGCAGCACGTCATCCGCGTTAAGAAACCGAGTACGAGAAAAGAAGCGCGCCGGGAAGAAATATACCAGAGGAAAACCGAGATAATGCTTCCAAGAAATAAAAATGTCGGTCGCTCGAACACGCGAATTAGGAACTTCGTAAGGAAAGTGGGATCTGGAAGGAAGTAGTCCAAGAAGATTTAGCGCGTGGCAATTTGTGGAACGTTATGTTAGTATTCTATAGTAATTGTGACTTCACACGAGAGTTTACGAAAATGTATTGTCCCTGGAGAGACAGCAATTTCTTATCTCAATTTATCGTCCTTCGGATGAAATACAAAAGCAATAAGAAATTATATTAATTTCCTCGGTTGCAAGCGTATTTTCGCGTTTATTTGTCGAAATGTTATGAGATATAGTCGAGATGAAGCAATAATTTAAATTTTGAAAAATAAATTAATTTTATTAATATTTTAAAATATTAGTAATTTAAAATCTGGTTATTTGAATAGATATATCTTACGTATACATAAAAAAATAAAGCTTGTATCATAAAAAACCCGGATGCAAAGGAATTAACTATCTATTCCGGATATAAACCACAAAAACGAAAAGAGCTTTAATGCATGTCATACATTATGCATTTTCATCTATGAAGCAGTGCGAAAATGTTTGCCTGATATGACATAGTAGCATTTCCACGAATGCATCCGGCCTTATCTATGCTCATTTTAGGTGCCAGTCGTTAAATTACGATATAGCTGAAGCCAAAACGAGATTCATAAATACGGTAGGCGATAGGCGTAAAAAGCGTGAATGCGTGTTTAATTATTAATGCGATGACGCGTGCGAATTTACAGCCATCGAATGTGATATAATTCGTCTGGCGTGACCAGACGCTTTTAGTATCGATAAAAACTGGAACCAGAGCACACACGTGGACGATTTCGTTCCTTTCCGATCCTTTAAAGGGGTACGACATTTTGACAAAGAAAAATATCCCCAGAAATATAGAAACGACAATGGCAATGGAGGGAAGCAGCAATCTTGCTTTACGGCACATTTACGCGCCCGGGGTTTATGATATTACGAAATCTGTGGGCGCGAAAAAAGTCCTCGAGATAAAAAGTGACGAGCGCAAGGTGACTATTCGCGCAGGGGTTGCAAGGACGTTTGCAGAGGTGGCGCCTGCGATAGCTTGCGACGAGTGGAAACGGACGGCCGTATTCAGAACACGAAAATACTCTAACGTATTTGCCTGAGGAAAACTGAAGTGGAAGTTATTCCCGCGAGCTTGTTGATTCGATTCATGCGTTTGCTCTTAGATACGTTAGCTCCGGAAATTTCATTTATTTAGTATTTCACATGACATACGCAAAGGAAGGAGAGATTTTGTAAGAGATTATATACTTTATAAAAGATGTAATATTGTATTACTTTACTTAATTTTATGGTGTAATATTATTGTACTCGTTCGTATATTACTTTAGAAGAAAGTCGTTTCACATTCTTAATGGAATTGTTCTTTTTAAACAAATTGAGAGTTAAAAGAGTTAATTTAATATTCTTTTTTCCGTCCAAGCCGGAAGAGCCATTTTCGGAGAGCCATTCGAAGTGGTAGATCGTGATAATGGCGATGCAGGACGATTTTCAGGTAATGTACATCATCCTTATTTGTGACGGTGGCTTTTTGTCAATTAATCTGGAGTTATCAGGAGCTGTGGCAGGGCTTTACCCCGTGCTACCATGGGTGGAGGCATAAAGGGGTGGAGTGTTGGTCATTTGTATAACGCCAGTAGAGTGGGTATGTATACGGGCGTTATCGCTCTAGAAGAGGGATGGAGGGAGAGGTAGTGATGGAACCAAACTAATATTTACTCCCGATTCTCGAGCAAACCAAACGAAGATGTTCATATAAACTGCGTCAATATTAACTTCCGACTTGTAAATCTCATTGGTATGCTCTCGTACTATTTGATACGTTTGTGCGCATGCTTATGTTTAAAATGGCGATCCTACTCAGAATATAATGGAACACGTAAAAACTATCGCGTTTCTCAGTTTGGTTTAATTAAATATTAAATATATTATGTAAAATATTTTGCAAATTTACAATTTATTTTTTGCTATATTTTCTCGATACTCATTGCAATAAATCTATTTTATTAATATAATTTTCGAACGGAAACTTTGAACACGTTAAGTGATAGTAGGTGCAGATTACCTGGGAGTGATGAGCGTAACATCATGTACGATGAAATTGAAAGAGGATACCGCGGGCTTTTGGCGTTGTTTATGCGAAACGGTCAGCTCAACGAGTTACGATGTCAGCGGGTTGTTCTGGGCAGATTCGTTTGATAATTCGATAGCCATCCGCATTTCAAGCCCCTCGCAATCCTCCCCGCGTTCGCCGTGGATTTACCCTCGCGCCGCACGCAGGTTCATCCAATTAAATTTATCAGATTGCACGCGAGCGAGGGTCGAAAGGGGACGATACTCGATGATTGGCAGGCGTTTGTCTTTTTGGGGTCACGAGAGAACCGTATTTTTTCATTCTCAATTGAGATATTGCAGCGGCACGAAGTGGACAATATAGTGATGGAACGAAATGAAGAATTTAAATTTGCAGAATTTGTTAATTTACTTTAAAGCAAGATCTTTTTCATGGATCACTACGTGCAAAAATAATATCCTATTCCAAATTTTGTACAGCGTTTGGCAAACTGATAAATATATGATGAATATTCATGAAGGTACTTAAAAATATTAACATAATGAGTTGAGACAAAATGATCGAGGTAATTAAAATTCAAATAAACAATAAGAAGAGTAAGGATAAAGGTAAAGAGTAAGGATAAAAGTTAAATCTCTAAAAAGAACAGAAATAAAATATGTGTTTACGTCACTCAGTTTTCTTCTTTGTGTTAATGGACTCACAGTCAGCCAGTTTCTATTACGAACTTTCCTTTCGGATCAATCCCTGTCACCCGCCAATGAGTATCGTCGTTCGGTCTGATGATGATTGATGATGATGGAGAATATACTAACTGTTCCGAAGGTATACTGAACAGAGAACGATCCGTACAGACCGCCATTTGAATGATGCTTATTCAGGAAGTTCGAAGATTTTATGCAACACGTGTCCAGATTAGCGAATAAAAGAGTCAAAAATATCAGAAAACCAAGTGTTACGATAAAAGTAATAACTTTTCCAAGATTTTTGGATTTATATCAATTTGTAAACATTATATTAACTATGTAGATAGACAATTTCTTGATTTTGAAGCTTAATATTAAAATAAAAGCATGATTACTTTATGTGGGAATTTTTAGAAAAGAATATTTATTTAGCAAAATATTTAAAAAATGCTAAAATTTACGTGATTTAAATAAAAGATGATATATAATAATGATAAGCTTTTTTCGTTATATAGTTGAACTTTTAGCACTAGATTATATTGTCATGATTGTGAAATAATATTTGTGGTTATCCTATACAATTTGTGTGAATAATGTGCACGTCATAATCTTCCAAAATCGAAATCGTTTGAAAGTTTGATTTTCACGCGATCCCCGCTGTACGTGTCACTGTTCTACGTGACATACATATTTGAAATAAATTCGATGGGCTGCAAGAGAGGAATGTATGCGAATTGAATTTATTTCACTGCCACTCGCACACGTGAAGCAAATAGTTGCGAAAACGTTAATCAGGCTTATGGAATACTTACCCTTTCTTTATAATTTATCTTTCGTGATTTATCTTGCGAATTGCATCGTAATCGGATTTTCAAATACTAATTTTGAAATTAATTCATAGAATTGTAATATATTTATTCTTTCATAAAATTAACAAATATAAATTTATATACTCAACAATATAGATATATATATATATATATATATATATATATATATATATAGAAGAAAGTAAAATATGCAAAAAATATAAAATAAAGGTTTATATATAAAATAACAGAGATGATTTATTTAGGGGATTCCATTAATAATATATTTAGTTATATGTTTCCTATTCATGATTAAAATGTTGTTACATACCAAGAAAATTTTTTAGTTATGAAAATAGATACGAACAGATACGAATGTTAATGATAATAAATCGCATGAGTCCCTAATCCAATTTATCAAAACGTGTTTTTACAGATACCCAAACAATTTTTTTATTACAAAATCAATTAATTCTACAGGTAAATTAATGGAAATGTGTTATCAGTTAAATATGAGTTTGTTTCCATTTTAGTATTTTTTTTATTAACTACAATATCTTGTCGAAAATTTTGGAAATAAAATTGCTAGTGCAAACATGTGTTCTCGATAAAATACACGCGTTGTTCGTTGCACATATATCTTTTATCATTATAAAGACGAGCGAATATTGTCGCTAAAGTATGCTTATTCTTTATGGTACATGACGAATCGGGGGCAGAAGAAAGGAGACGGGCAGAATTCTATGGAGGTACAAACGAGCATATACAATGAAGCAAAGTGCATAGCTATGTTCCATAAGATATTCCGCCGAAATGTCGAAGAGCGTATTACGCTTAAGAAATGAGCTGAGTTTGCTCGCTTGGCGCCAGTTCGCTACTTGCTAGTTATAATGCACTTGGATTCTGGTATCTTGTAAGTAGTATATCCAGCAGTCGCGCTCACAGCAGATTCAGAGTTGCGTTCTCGCGGGAGATGTCGGCGAGCGTTGCTTTCCTGTCCAGAATTTCGCGTATAAGTTTCACGGAGGATAGAACACGTTTCATGTGCTTCTTCGCATCACGCAGCGCTAGCTATACAATGAATGAGTGATTAAGTTGCGAACGCATTGAAAAAGTAGACAGTTCTTCTTTTAACCCGTAATTTAATATTTCTATACGATCTTTTGCATATTGTATATAAAAATGAGAGCAGCGTCTGTATTTTATAATTTTTTTCTTATAAATTTCTCTCTTTCTCTCTCTCTCTCTCTCTCTCTCTCTCTCTCTCTCTCTCTTATCATCTTTAATTGTCATTCTTCCTTTAGTAAAATGAAAAAAATGTTTGAAACATTTTATGCATTCTTCCTTTTTATTTTTTCTTTATCTTATTATGTGTAAGCAGTTAATATGGTTATGGAATAAATAAAAGCGTAACGTAAAAAATTAGTTTATCATAATAATAGATTTTATAAAGTTATAGAGAACGCTATCGTAACGCTATCGTTGAAAGTCTTGTTCTGAAATTAGTTATTTTGTTTTCAGCGTCAGCACACGTACGCGAAACATCCAACGAAGATGTGCAGCGGCATGTAAACGATGCCAGTAATGATTTGATGGAAGATCTACCCGTTTTCGAGCCGACAGCAGCGAATGTCAGTGCATTTGTGGGACAAACTGCATATCTACCGTGCCGTGTGCGAAATTTGGGCGATAAAGTAGTAAGTCTTTTCTTCACTCATTTTTCGCTATCACAATATCCTCTTGCAAACGGTGGAGCTTTTCTGATTTAATTAATCATCAGTTTAATTTAATTTTCGCATGCGTATTTACCCTTGTAAAATCAAAATCTAAATTTTTAATCTGCCGAAGGTTATATAATCATAGCTATAAAGATATACAATTATGAAATTTGAATTGCAAATTTCATTTTTTGCGTTATTCAGAATATAAATCATCCCTAGACATTTAACAAAGATCGTGTGTTACGTACGTACGTACGTACGTGTCATTATTAATTGCAAACAAGCACTGTGACTGGCCCGACTGGGCAATTAATCTGAAAATTTGCCGGAGACGGCTTCGATTCAAACAGGTTGCTTCCAGCAACCCCCTTATCTGCAGAAGGGAAACCTATGTAATTAATACAGGGACATGACAAATTGTCGCTTCCGTAATAGCGGGCCGCCAATAAATATCGCGGGCCGCGATTAGAGAGCGTTCCATACACCGTAGACGCGGGTCTGGGCGTAGGAAATGGCGTGTCTGTGACGATATATCATGACAGGAGCCGCGGGGACACAGACGTCGGTGTGTTTCCTTCAAAGGCGAAATCTCCCCGATGCGTATCTCGCGGCGTTGACTAAGCGCGGCATAGATTTAACGAAGACGTATGGCTCGCCTTAGCGAAGCTTTTCTTCAACGACGGGTCTCGCCTCCCAGCATTGGCTCTCGCGCGCGTCTCAGCCATCTATTGTATCGTTAATTTTCAGTGTTTCTATGTTAAATTTATGGTAAACCATTGGATCCGAGCCCATTAGACTTTCGTGGATATGAAGTGACGCGAGCAGAAGCTCTGAAGCTGAAAAACGGATGTTTTTACTTTTTTTTATATAATTCGTATAACTATAATCGAAGTAACGGGCAAACGGAAGAAATTCATAGCGGGGGAGGGGGGGGAGGGAGAGGGAGGAATGCGAAGGAAAAGGGGAAAATTCCTAAAGCGTCTACGCCGAAGTACGAACACTTTATAACTTACCTATCTAAATTCTTCCTTCCGCGGAACACGCGCAAATAGAATCTTTCGAAAATTCTTCGCGTCTGCTGCGAGAAAGCCGGGAACACGGTTTCGGCGGTAACAAAGACGGCAAAAGGAAGGTCGATGAAACGATCGAAGAGTGCATGCGAATTTGCGGACGACTCAACCGCAATTCACGTGTGGTGCGATGACCCGCGAGGAAACGCGTAACCGACGATCGTGTCCAGTTTGTCGATCGATCATACTTTGTTCACTTCGTGAACGCCCGTTAGATTAAAAGGCGCACTTGGCGCCAACCGAGAATCATTCCTGGGAAGCGAACGTCGTACGGTTCGCTATGCATTTTTCTCCACGAACGCAATTTTTCGACACGCCCGGCCAATTTTCGCGACCCATTTTTCCGCTTTCCCGAATTTCCTCTCTCGCTTTGGACAGGTTTCTTTCTCCTCCTATACGGGCTTTATTGTTATCGAGTAAACGTATGCAACTGGTGGATGGATGCGGTTTTTGTAGCAAGGCTTCGCGCAGTTTTTTCGTCCGGCTCGAGAAAGAAACGTTCGGAATTGATGAGTGTAATTGTCTGCCGGCTGACGCTTCTACGACGTCTGATAAAATTGACATTAAAACGAATGATCTGCGCGATTTTCTCTCTTTCTCTCGTGCACACACAAAGAGGTCTGTCAATTTAAAAGATTTGCTATAGAAATGTACACTTCCATTGATATCAGTCAAAATTTCCTTATTTTATATCCTTATATTTGCTGTTTATTATGATATTTTTAAATATTTAGTTCCTACTTACGCTTTATGCAAATAGTATACTTTTCTCTTTATATTATAATATATTTAAAATTCTTCTTTTATTAATTATTAATCAGACACATTTTTGTCATGCATGAATAAAATCATGATAAAATTTGTTTTTCAAAGAACTGATTAATAATAAAATATATAATTGCTACATTTTATTATTAATTATTTTATTTTTGAAGATAAATATTGCAAATTAAGATTTTCAATAAATAATTGAATATTTTATTATTCCTTTCTCGTAACGTAATAGTAAAAACCGCGTTCACTTTGGTAAAAAAAATGTTTCATTTTACTGTTGCCATCCAACCGTAAAAATTTAAACTGAAGATTGATCGTATGGTCAAACGTGGTTCAATGTGCAATATTTCGAAAACGTACTTGTATCTAACAGAGATTTTATTGGAAACGAACGAATATATAGATTTCTTTAATAGCTCTACAAAATTGCTCTACGCGCATTTTCTCGGAGCACGGCCGGATGCATTTTTAGTTCACGTTCACCAGATTTATCCAATCTTTTCCACATTTTTCTTCCTTCCACTTATCTGTTTTCTTTTTTCTCTGAGATCCACCTTTAATTAAATATCGATCTACGTGCGGCGACGGTCAGCGGTGACGCGTCGATTACGGCAAGTTTTTTCGAGTTAAGTTGGAAAATCAAATGGAGTTTAAGAAGAAAATAATTGCGAGAGATTAGTCGCATTTATTTTAGTAAAACTCAGATTGCACTTTAAAGGGACTTTAACGAAATTTGTAACGTCTCCTCATTATGATCGAATAATTATCAGTTAACATCCTCGAGAACTTATGAAACGGAGAAAAATTGATTGCTCGAACGTCATTATTTTCCGGGTCTCATTAGTTCCGTAGGCAACGAGTGTTAAAAAATGAGCATGCAGGAAAGAATGCGAGAGGAGATATATCAATTACCACTTATCGGATAATACTTTTTCTCTAATCGTTCTTTAAATTAAATCGTCGATGAATTCATCCGCAATTAAATAATTACTTCGCTCTAAAAGTCAATTATAATTAAATAATTATGTCTCAGAAATATTGCGGCATATAATCTTTATCATTAAAAGTTTTGAATACCTCGTTATTTATTTCACTAGCTTGCAGCACTACGTAATAATGTCAGTTATAAACTTTTACTCATCAATACTATGACAATATTCCCTAGCAGTTTATTCATTGACTACAAATTTCTGCTGAATTATGCATAATTGTCTCAGTAATGTATAAAACGGAATAAAATGGAACTCAATATTAAACTAAATATCTATTTCTCAAAATTTTATTTTTAATTGTCAACACTTTGTTTATTATTTAATGATTTAATCATGATATTAAATTAAAAAAAAAAGACAACTATAGCATAAAAAAAATATATAACGATGGATACTGAAAGATTTATTATTTTAAATGCAAAATGATAAAAAGCATAAATTGATAATCTATTTTATATTTAGAATTAATATATATATATCCTCTGTAAGGATAATGGGATTTAATTTTTATCAAAATATCATCTTTCCTTTTCCTCGGATATCGAAACAATCGAGATGCAAATGTAAGTCAAGTTAATAACGAAGGATCATGACTGTACAAAATATTGTACTTTTATTCTACAACATTTTCTGAGAATCCTGGCCCTTTACTTATTTCAGCGGAGACGAGTTATAAAAGCTACGATACGCGATTCTTCCGCGCGGGGAGAATTCAAGGAACGCCGAGATAAGATAATGCAACGTAAAGTGCTGCCCAAATGTAATAAACGTTCGCTTTGTGCCATCGTCATGCTAGGCATTACCCTATTTCCTATTATATTTCCTATTAAGAGTCAGAATAATCATTTCGAAGGATAAATCAACTTTCTTGCTATTAAAGTTCCGTTTTCCAATAATATGACTTTGAGCGAGAAAATATGCTTTTCAAATTGTGATCACAAGAAACGGATTTATTGTAATCGGAAGATTTTCTCGAATATAAAGTATAAAAATAAATCTGAATCTCGCGCGTTTGTTGTAACGAAATAAATTTTTATTTGTCTCAGATAATATATGTCTGACTTATTTTGCAATAATATGCAATTTTATTGTGAAATTTATCCTTTATATATTATTTATTTATTATAAAGATTTATGATAATTAATACGTCAGTTGAAAACATTTGGGGAGATATCACGTAAATCGAAACTGACGATTAAATGAGGTGATTAAATAACCACAATTACGCATGAAATTTTCATCTCTCGCATTTTGTCTCGCAATTAGCATGCAATATTTGTTTGACCATGTATTGAAGATATATATGTATGTACGTTATGAATTGGATTAACTAGTTGTCTAAGCACAATATTTAAATGTATGACAGAAGAAGAAATCTTTGTGCTGTTTACAAAAGCTGATTCAGTTCAGTTATTTTTATCACGCACCTTTATAATAAATCGAACAACGACGCAGATTTGAAAGCAAACAGGGTTCATAAAAAAATTTAAATTTTTCTGTAATAACTACTTCCATTATTCAATGACGTTTAGAATGCGTATGATCATCTTTGAGCATTCTGAGCATTTTCTGCCACTAGAAATTGTCTGAATTAATGGTTCCAATGCTAATGTCCACCATCAGCATAAAATCAAGCACGTCGGAGTCCTGGAGCATAGAATTCCCCAAAAGTGTCTCGTAACTCGTTCACCTCCTCGACAGTCCAAAACATCCGCGACATGATGGATGGCCGGAAGGGGATTCCTCGGTATTTATGCTGCTCATAAAGTTCGACGGGCTTATCTTTCGTCCGCGTTTCGTTGTTGCGTTGCTTAATATCTGCTAAATTTGCGCAAAAGATATATTGTTCAAAATTTTATCGAAGCTCTCATGTACTCATTAAACTTTGTGTTTTATATAAAACTGTGTAATATAAATCTGGCTGTATCATCCTCCGTCTTCCTTTTGAGGCAGATATAATCAACAAAGACTTTTCTAATTATGTTATAGACGTAAACTTAAAAAAATATAAATAAAATAATAATTATTTGATCAAATTTTTGATAGTGCAATATTTCCGCTACATTCTAATATTGTTATGTTTCCATGATGCAACGCGACGTGAAATTTTCTGTAAAATCGTGATTTGTTAACCTCGCG